TAATTGAAAAAATATTAAAAAAATATATTTTTATAGTTAAAAGAATAAAAAATATATATATAATTTGAGGGATAAAAACTATATAAAATTTTAAAATTAAGAGAGCAAAATTAAAATTTAATCTATTAAAAAACTTGGAATTAAGTTCTTTTCAGTCAACATTACTCTTGTTGTGAAAAATTGACCTTTAATTAGTATTTTATAATTAGAAATTTGTTTTAAATTTCTTTAAAAAAATCTACATTATGAATTCTTTATCCTTCTTTAACAAACAATAAACCATTTTCGAAGAAAAATCCCCCTTTTTAACCCAAATTCGTCCATCTTCTACATTTCTAAATATCGACATTGCAAAATGCAAAGTTATACTACATAATTTCTAAAAACAAGTGATAGAAACTAAAATGTCCAAAATAATCACTTTCAATATGTATTCCACCATTGCAAATCAAAATTTCAACATCAACTGCCTATAGAATCTAAACTACTGTGCTCAATGATTTCGGTGGTGGTCCAGTCATATTGTTATCATCCACATAAAGTATTGTTAAATTAAGCAGACAACCAAGCTCAGCTGGTAAGACCATCCACGCTGTAAGCATTTTTTGTTAGTTTCAGACAGTAGGATGAGTTCAGAAGAATATCAATATGATTCACAAGAGTTTCAAATTACTAAAGTTGCTTATCTCCTTTGGTATGCTGCCACTGATATTCTCCATATAAGATTCCTGGTAAAAAATAGTCACAAGAACAAGTTATGGTCAATGTCAAAAGGGCTTGATCATGGACAAAATTGACGGAATGAAAAATTGACGGAATGAAAACTTTACTTGATACAAAATATCCATATCCACCAAAACAATCCTAGAAGTTTGGTGTTAAAATGACATAACTTCCAATATTGTCATAAAAGATAGTTCATCAAGCTCAGGAGCTAGTTCTCCAAACAGATTCAATTTTAGCATCCGTCTACATCATGAGATGGATCAGAAGTTAAAGAACAGGAAATATTACCCCAGATATTGCTGCAACAACAAAATTGAGTAACTGATTCTAACTCTTAGCATTAAACATAACATTAATCAAGTAACATATCAGATCTTTATTCTATTTGAAGGAGAATGCGAATGGGAATAACCAAAAGGAGGAAAACTAGACATTGTGTGGTATCATGGAGACATACCTACTAGTGAGGAAATAAAAAAAGCAATATCAAGAAGCTATACAGAAATTAATCAGAATAACTGGAACACTGAATAGATAGTCATACAATTCTTCAACATGTGGATAACCATCACTTTGATCAATGTAGCAGATAACA